GGCAGTCCAGGTGGGCGGGGAGGGTTGGGCTATCCATGTGGGAAGAGAACAGTATTTCCAGGACCTATCTCCCACCTTTCCAAGCACCTCTGGATCTCCCTCAAGTCATAGCTGCCATTTCACAATGTCCTCCCAGGTGTGCTGCTCGGAGCCAGTTCAGCTCAACACCCACTCAGAAATGTGTCTGTGACTCCCTCTGTCAAGGTCAACATCCTTGGGTCTCCAGCCATAGCTCTGACCAGGCTGCACCAGCACCTCGCTGCTGCTCTACACAGCTGCTATTGCAAAACATGTTATTATTATCCATATAAAACATATTATTAAGGTACCATTTCAGATAGGGCCCTTGTCTTCCACGACCTCCAGCAGTAGCAATGACCTCTCCTAAGCATCGTACCAGGGCAGTGATGGAGTCCCCATCCCTGGAGGGATTAAAAAGCTGTGTAGATGTGGTGCTGAGGGACATGGTTTAGTGGTAGCCTTGGCAGGGCTGGGTTAATGGTTGGACTCAGTGATCTTAAGCATCTTCCCCAACCAAAACAATTCCATGATTCTCTGTTAACGTGACTACAGAAGCATCTTAATGTCAGGGTCCTTGTTCACCTTTTCATTATGTATTTGTCATATAAATACATCCAGGTCCTTTTCAGCAAAGTAGGCTTGTGCCTTTCCCTCAGTGTGTGCTCAGCCAATAATCTGACTTTGTCATATGACATTTCCACATTGTAAAATGTTGACAAAAAAGAATTATGCTTTTTAAATGTTTTAAACTGTCAGTTCCCATTACCTCTGCCAAGTGGTGTAGTTGCATTTCTGAAGTCATTCTGTTCACTTGGACCATGTTCATGTTGAAATATTAAAGCCACACAGTGCAAACTTTCTGGTATAGGTGGAAAAGGAGGGGATTTCTACGTAATCTTCATGCAAAATACAAGTTGAGACAGCAGGTGCTGAATCAGTTTCACTCTGGAAGGTGGTGGAAGAATTCTTACGCATGACTTGACTTTTTTCTGGTAGTAATAAAGAAGCATTATGAAAATGAAGGCCTCACAGTGCTGGTTCTGAAAGAATCTAATGGTTTAAACATCTGTAAATCACCTCAACCTGTTTGTGTGTACTTTGTACTTCTGAAGGAGGCCAAAAATGAAGCAGCATTTTTGGGTGGAAGGAAAGCAGCATGTAGAGTTTATTGTTTAGAGTTTACTGAGACTTTTCAAAGACCTGTGACAAATTCCATCTTCCTTTTCATCCAAAGAAGTTACCTCTTAGGTGCTTTGTCCAAGTCCTGCTAGGGATTGAAGTGTGGTGGAAAAAGGATGTAAGAGTGATAACTCTGTTCCCATTGCGACCCACACTGCACAGCCAGGAATCTAAAGGTTATTTACTCGGTCTGCTTTTTTTTCACAGCTCAGAAATACTGACCAGGTGCAATGGATGTGGTTTTCATATTCTGAAGGACTTTGAGTTTAAAGTCTTCTGCTTCATAGCAGGTTCTGATTATTTCTTGCCACTGGAGATTGCCCTCCCCTAGCTAGCACTTTGCATGAGTTTGTGCAACTCCCTGAAAGGAGGTTGGAGCCAGGGGGGTCAGTCTCATTTCCCAAGGAAGAAGCAACAGGACAAGAGGAAATGGCCTCAGGTTGTGCCAGGGGAAGGTTGGATACTGGGGACAATTTCCTCATGGAAAGGCTTGTCAGGTCCTGGCCCAGGCTGCCCAGGGCAGTGGTGGAGTCCTCATCCCTGGAGGGATTTCAAAGCTGTGTAGCTGTGGTGCTGAGGGACATGGTTTAGTGCTGGGTGAACAGTTGGGCTCAATGATCTTGAAGGTCTTTTTCAACCAGGAATTCATAGAATCATAGAATGGTTCAGGTTGGAAGGGACCTAAAAAATCATCTAGTACTGTAGAATTCTGTGATTCTGATTCTCTGTAATGTGCATTTCTTCTGACATGCTCTAACTGCTAGAAATTAAGAGGATCCTTGATACAGACTGTTCATACTACAACAGCCTAATGCCAAGTTTCTTGCTCTTTTCTTTGAAGTCACTGGCAGTGGTCACTGCTGGAAATTGAACTATGTGGCAGTGGATCTGACTCAGTCCCTCAGCTTCTGTTTTTTCTCAAATTAGATAAACTGTTGGAACTGCCTTGTGCAGGCTTGTTGCTGTAATAAATGTCACTCTCCAGATGAATGCAAATCCATCCCAGTAATGGCTTTATGGGAAATGCCTTTGCTTCAAGTCTTACAGGGACCAAGTAATTTCAGGCAGATCTCAGAGTTAATTCTTGAAATCCACGTCTGGTTCTTCTTAAGGAAGAAAATGAAATGGGGAGGGTGAGGAGGACAGAGGAGGAGGCATGGTTTGCTGCTCTCTGTGTGTGCGTGGTGGGCTGGTGGTGCGCGAGCGGCGCCGCTCCGCGCTGCGGGACAGTGGCTGCTCTGGGCTCCCGCAGATGGGCCGCTCTTGTTTGCTTCAAGCCACTCTTCAGAGGACAAAATCCCTTCTATTGAGTAGGAGTTGCTCAGGGCTATGCTTGGCCCTGCTGGTTCAGGCGCAGCAGAATGCTGTGCATTGAAATCCCAAGCACAAATCCAACCTGGAGAATGGATGGAGAGCAGTCCTGAGGAGAAGGACTTGGGGGTGTTGGGCCAAGAAACCAACCATGTCCTCAGCTGCATCCCCAGCAGTGGGACCAGCAGGGCCAGGGAGGGGATTGTCCCCTCTGCTCAGCTCTGGTGAGACTCCCCTGCAGTGAGGGTAGCTCAGCCTGGAGAAGAGGAGGCTCTGGGGAGACCTTAGAGCACCTTCCAGGACCTGAAGGGGCTACAGGAAAGCTGGGGAGGGACTTTTGACAAAGGCATAGAGCGATGGGACGAGGGGGAACAGTTTCTAGCTGTAAGAGGGGAGACTGAGATGAGATAATATTATTACCTATAATATTAGGAACAATTTCTTCCCTGAAAGGGTTGTCAGGCACTGGAAAAAGCTGTCCAGGGAAGTGATGGAGGGATTTAAAAGATGTTTAGATGTAGCACTTAGGGACAGTGGTGGACTTGGTAGTGTTAACAGTAGGACTCAATGATCTTAAAGGTCTTCTCCAACACAACATGTTCTATGGTTCTATATTTAAAGCAACACCAGGCCTCTGTTATCAAACTCCTACACAATGCCTCCTTCAAGCCTCCAAGCCAATGCCTCCTTCATCTCCCCTTCCAGCTGCTCTTCCTCAGCTCTTTTTTCCCCCCCATTTTCTGCCATGAGCACACTCCCAGATCCTCTGTAGTTTCTGCTGATGCCCTGGGGCAGGTTGATTTGGAGAAGCCCAGATGAGTATCTGGCCTGTGAGCCAGCGCCTGCTGCTTCCCATGTGGCCCACCATGGCAGGCAGCAGGAGCAGAGGTCCACGGGAACTGTGCACCCCTGGCAGAACTCTGCTGACCCGTTCAACCTTGCTGCTAGAAAAGCACGAACACCTAATAAATATGAGGTAATACTCAGTCATGGATGAGTGGATAATTAGGTTGAGTTATGTGGATGAGTTACGATAATTAGGCTCTTGCCCGTATTGCTCTTTTTTGAAAACAATGTGTGGTTGCTCCTCTTCCCTCAACATTAAGCACTGCAAAAAGCCTGTCATTATCATCTTGTTAAAGCTACCTACAATCTAAATAGTATTTGTAATACTCCCTTCACAGAACTTTTCTTCTAGGCTTTAGGCATTATTTAATTATTTTTTTAAAAAAATTAAGAAAGAACAAGTAAACCAAATTTCCTGTTGTACAGCTTTGCAGGGTAAATCTGCAGAACTGGACACAATATTCCAGATGCAGTCTCATCAAGGCAGGACAGAGAGGGAGGAGAACCTCCCTTGACCTACTAACCACACCCTTTCTAATACACCCCAGGATGCCATTGGCCTTCTTGGCCACAAGAGCACATTGCTGGCCCGTGGTCTTCCTCCTGTCCACCAGGAACCCACGTCCCTTTCTCCTACACTGTTCTCCAGCAGGTCAGTCTCCAACCTGTACTGGTACATGGGGTTGTTCTTCCCCAGATGCAAGACTCTACACTTGCCCTTGTTTAATTTCCTCAAGTTTCTCCCCACTCAACTCTCCAGCCTGTCTAGTTTTGCTGAATAGCAGCACAGCCTTCTGGTGTGTCCACCACTCCTCCCAGTTTAGTCTAATCAGCAAACTTGCTGAGGCCACACTCTGTTCCCTCATCTAGGGCATTGATGAAAATATTGAATAGTACCGGTCCCAGTACTGACTCCTGAGGGTCAGTACTGCCAAAGAACAGTAAAGCTTGTCTCTCATTGGCATTAGATTCCAGGTTCCTTGGTGCAAGGAACACTTTCTATGTCAGAAAATTGGGAGCTGCATCCAACAGGGCATCCACATGGATCTCCACATTGTTTCTGTGCCATAATAGGACTATTCTCTTCCTGAAATGTTTACTCCATACTGAGAAGGGAAGCTACAGAGGACAAAAAAGTATGAACTCTCATGCACATGCAAAAATGGGGTTTGGGGTTTTTTTGGCAGTAATTTTGGAGACCTTAATTCATGGAAGTACTTCATAGACTGGTTTGAGTTGGAAGAGACCTTAAAGATCATCTAGTTCCAGCCCCCTGCCAGTGGGACACCTCCCACTAGACCAGGTTGCTCCAAGCCCCATCCAACCTGCCCTTCAACACTGCCAGAGATGGGGCAGCCACAGCTGCTCTGGGCAACCTGGGCCAGTGTCTCACCACCCTCACAGCAAAGATTTTTTCGTCAGGTCTCCTCTCAGTCTCCCTTCTTGCAGCTTGAAACCATTCCCCCACATCCTGTCTTATGCTGTTGTCTCCCAACAGGTCTTTGTCCTCTGGTTTTAGTAGAAAGCTTTTGCAAGACTTGAGTAGAAAGGGGAACCTGTCCCTGCTGTTTAGTGTCTTCAGATAGGTCAAGAGGAGAACTGCTTGACTTTGTAAGGAAAAGAATTACAGTAATAAATCTTGGAAGAAACTAGTCATTCATAGCTGTCCAGTAAGATGGAGTGCAAAGATCAGAGTGCCGAGTAGGAAATGGATGGTTTGGGCTGTTTTTTGGTTTTTATTCTTTTAAGAGCTGAGGTTTTGGGAACCACATAGAACTTCACAGAGAGGACAGGTACCTCTCGTAACAGTAAATAGTAGCATGCTAATGCTCTAATGAATTCTGTCTTTATGTATTAAAAAGAATAGCATTTGCCACCACAATCCCAGAACTCTTCCAAAGCCATGAAAGTAAGAATTTGGTGTTAATAAAATGTTGGGCAGAAATGAGAGCAGCGGCTGCTGTTAGATTTCCTTCCCTTTGCGCCAGGGAAATTAATTTCCTGAAGAAGTAGAGGCTGTCCTACCAATGGTCCAGATGGGTCATGTTGAGCTTCTCATCACCCAAAACCCCTAAATCCCTCTCCTCAGGGCTGCTCTCAATCCATTCTCCACCCAGCCTGGATTTGTACTCGGGATTGCCCCAACCCAGGTGCTCTTTCTCAATAGCTGAGTGTAAAGTTGACACTGGGCTTTGTGTGTGGTGGTCATTAGAACCTTCTGGTGTCCACATCTCTAATCTGGAGTGCTCTCTCCCTCCAGAACAATGTGACTGCACACAAACCACCTGCTGCAGATAATTCTCCCTGTAGGGTAAATCCCAAACCATCCTGAGATGAGAATTGCTGGAGAAAGCTGGCTAATCTGGGCTAAAAATAAGGCAGAGGCCACACTAAATATCTTAACAATGCAAGGGATCAAATTCCAGTGCCTCTACCTGGTGCTTTTTATCTCACCTACATGGGCATCCCCTTTGCAAATCTTCAGGGGGAGCATCAGATAACTTTGAAGTTTCAGAACCTGGAAAATTTACACATTAGTGGAGAATCAGCAACCTGAACATTTATTTCTGGGTTTCTTTAGTCTTGAGAAGGCTTGCGGGGGTCTTTTTGTGCATTATTAATACATGATTGTGGCAAGTCAGAGGGTGAAGCCAGACTCACTTCAATGACACCCTGTGAAAGGACAAGAGGCACCAGCTCCTCACAACTGAAACAGAAATAAAAACTATCTTGTGGCATAAACGCTCAAACATTGGAGTGGGTCACCCCAGGAGGTTATATAGTCTTCACCCTTGGAGGTATTCAAAGCTCAGCTGCACAATGTCCTAAGTAACCTACTGTAGTTGAGATTTCTTTAAGCAGTGAGTTGCTAGTAGGCCATCCCAAAAGGTCCTTTCCAACCTCAATGACTCTACGATTTTGAGCTGTTAAAAGATTAAATGGTCTCTAGACACCAACAGTGAAATAAAACTGAAGGCCTAGTTGTGTCTGTCCCTTTCATCCTTAATCTGTCACTTTCTACCCTGTCTCTAGGAGCACTGGTGCACACCAAGCTCTTCTCTCAAACTTCTGTTTTTCTGCCCAAATAGTTTCTGAAAATGGTTATGGAAGTTTCTTCTCAAACCAGGATCCCAATCTGAGGTCCTTCTGGACATGTTGTGGTAAAAATCTCTGCAATCTTGAGATTGAGTGGAAATATAAAGGCAACAGTAGAGCACTGAAGTTCAGAGCACTTGACAAAGCACTGGAGATCCACCAGCTGTGTGGTACATTGGTATCTATGCTCATCCTTCTGGCACCTTCAGTGAGGTGCCAAGAGGACAGAGCCAGGCTTTTCCCAGTAGTGCCCAGTGCCAGGACCAGAGGCCATGGGCTCAGACAGGACCATAGGAGGGTCCCTCTGAATATCAGGACACACTTTTCAGTGTGAGGGTGACCCAGCACTGGCACAAGTTGCCCAAGGAAGTTGTGGAGTCTTCCACCTTGAAGATCTTCAGAAGCCATCTGGACACTGTCCTGGCTCTGGGTGGCCCTGTTTGAGCAGATAACCTCCAGAGGTCCCTTCTAACCTCAACCATTCTGCAGTCTGTAATGGCCTGGTGTCAAAAGCAGCCCCTACATACCATCTGGTTCCTCAGGCAGTTCGTAACCTGGGAGACCTGTCCATGATGAGATGCTGAGAGAGTTGGGGTTCTTCAGCCTGGAGAAGAGAAGGCTGTGGGGAGACCTCATAGTGGCTTTCCAGTGTCTGAACAGGGCCTCCAGGAAAGCTGGGGAGGGACTTTTGACAAAGGCTTGTAGTGAAAGAACAAGGCGGGTGATGGATTAAAACTGAAGGAGGGGAGATTAGGTTAGACATTAGGAAGAAGTTCTTTAGTGTGAGGGTGGTGAGACACTGGAACAGGTTGCCCAGGGAAGCTGTGGCTGCCCCATTATCCTTAAGGTCCCTTCCAACTCAAACCATTTTATGATTCTATGCCTCCCCAACTCTCAGTGGACAACTTGTTGTGTCTCATGGCCAGAAGGATAGTTCAGAATTGTACTAGACCTCCTGAGCAGCAGCTTAGGATTCCACTTAGAAAATGTACTAAACCAGAACAAGAGGAGAAATAACTCTGTAATTCCAGAGCCAGGGACTGTTCTTCAGTGTAATGTCTGTGAATAATCCTGTTCATAAGCTGCAAGTTATTATACCTTCTCTCCACTAGCTGACACTTGGGAAGGTTAATGTTTCACCAGAAGACTTTCTGACCAAGGTATAACAGCAGGTCCTCCCAGGGAAGCCGGCCTGTGCTTTAGGAACAGATAGGTATAGTGTATTGTTTTTCTGAAGGTCTTTAAAAAAATAAAGAAAAGCAAATAAAATTCCTCAGATGGATAGTGAGGACAGTGAGTCAGGTCAGCAGCTGCCCATCCTGAGATCAGATCAAGCCAGATGTGAAACCACATCTCGAGGTGCCCCCATAGCTCAGCTCTTTCATGGCTGTGTAGAATCACACAGTGTTGTTCTGGAACACAGGGCTGCACCCAAACCCTGGCAGTCTGGTAACACATCATCAGTCTTTTGTCTAATTTTTCTCTGTTCCTCCTCCACCAGCCTCGCCCACCAGCAGACCTGGGGTTCAGCTTTGATGCCAACAAACAACAAAGGCAGCTGATAGCAGAGCTGGAAAACAAAAACAGGTAAAAGCAAGCTTTGATCAGTGTTGTTTTAGGAACAACACCTGAGGAACACCTTGTGTTTGTTGTTTTTAGCCTTTTGTGTTCTATCACTCAGCTGGAGTTCCTGATCTTGTGTTGAAGGGTGTAGCTGCCACATAAACTGATCAGCTCCGAGTCCTTGTTCCCCAGAGAGCAGGTTGGCCTTCATAAAATCATGGAATGATTTGGGTTGGAAGGAGCCTTAAAGCTCATCCAGTCCCACCCATGGGAGGGAACACGACCACACGACCCACTAGACCAGGTTGCTCCAAGCCTCATGCAAACTGGCCTTGAACACTTCCAGGATGGGGCAGTCACAGCTGCTCTGGGCGACTGTTTCCAGTGTCTTACCACACTCATAGTGAAGAATTTCATCCTGATGTCTTCTTCACTAATCTTAAAATCATCTGGACTGGCACCAGCAGACCTGAAGCAAAGATATAGTGAAGTGAGCAGGTTGGAAGGCTAAGGTGGGTAAGTTCAGCTTGAGAAGAGTAAGCAGATGCTTTTTGCAAGGGCATGGAGTGACAAGATGAGGAGGAACGGTTTCAAGCTGCAAGAGGGGAGACTGAGATGAGATTGTAGGAAGAAATTCTGTGCTATGAGGGTGGTGAGACACTGGCCCAAGTAGCCCAGGGAAGCTGTGGCTGCCCCATCCCTGGCAGTGTTGAAGGCCAGGTTGGATGGGGCTTGGAGCAACCTGATCTACTAGGAGATGTCCCTGCCCATGGCAGGGGATTAGAACGAGATGATCCTTAAGGTTTCTTCCCACCCAGACAAGTCTGGGGTTCCATGATTCTTCTTGCTCCAGAGGGACTGTCAAGAAGTCTCCCTGTTTTTATCATAATGTTGCATTTGCACTTAAGTGCTTCTTCAGTGCAACATGTTGATTTAAATCTTTCTATGGCTCAGAGAAGCTGCAGCTCTAAAGAATTAAGACCTTGAGCAGCTGCAAACCCCCTGTGCTGTAGTCTGGGCAATCTGTGGGCTACCTCTAGAGCTTCTCTTGTTGCCCAGTGATGTCCTAGCCTTGCAGCCATGCTTGGGTCTCCCTGTGCTCCAGCTGCACCCAGCTGGGGTGCATGAGCTGGCTGCTGGAAAAGCACTCCTCCAGGCTAGTTTGCAGGAGAAGCAGTTCCTGGAGAGCAGGGGAACAGCTCAAGCCGTGCCTTGTGTAACCAGTTGCAGCTGCAGTGCTGCCAAGAGACCTTGCGGGGATTTGAAATGGTTGGTGGTGATTACAGATAAGAGAGATCTCAATCAGTGCTGGTATGAAGCCCTGCAAGGAGAGCAGCTCTGAGCGTTTAAAAAAGAGCAGGGGAGGAGATTTCCAGATTGTGATCTTCACTGGCAGAAGGATCTTGTTTCCCTTCCAATGAGGAAGTCCTTGGCTGTGGGTGCACCTTCCTTTTCAGAACCAGCTGCCTGAATTGGGCTGCTGGCTGATCACCTTCCCTTGCTGGGACCACGCCAGGCTGGCTCTCTTACTATGAGCTGTTATTTTGCCTGTTCCCTCTGACCTGCCAGGAGCCCTTGGAAAGGTGAGTGGGGCTCCAGGAAAGCTGGAGAGGGACTTTTGACAAGGGCAGGGAGTGATGGAATGAGAGGGAGCGGTTTCAAGCTGCAAGAGGGGAGACTGAGATGAGATTCGAGGAAGAAATTCTTTGCTGTGAGGGTGGTGAGACACTGGCCCAGGTTGCCCAGCTGTGGCTGCCCCATCCCTGGCAGTATTGAAGGCCAGGTTGGGATGGGTCTCAGAGCCATGGCAACCTGGTCTAGTGGGAGGTGTCCCTGCCCATGGCAGGGGGTGGAGCTGGATGAGCTTTAAGGTCCCTTCCCACCCAAAGGAACCTGGCATTTGGTGGTTCTATGAAGCTAACCAGTGCAGAATTTGCTGAAAATTGAACTCTTTTCCGCTTGGAACAGTCTCTGAGCCCATTTGACAAGACAGGATTAGGAGACATTGCCTGTGTTGGGGCACTGAAGTGATCTCATGCTCCTTATTAAGTAATAAATTTTCTCTGTGTGTTACAGCAGCTCCTGGGGCTGCGCTGACTTACCTGGCTGGGGTTTGAATCCCTGCCAGTCCCACATGACCAGAATTGCTGTGCTTAGGCTGGAGTCTGACAGAAAGTGCTGGAATACATCAGAGTGTTCAGGAGCAGTGCAGAGCTGACCTTTTTCCCTCTTTAATCTCCCCTCTGTCATTTCTATAGAGAGATACTCCAAGAAATTCAGCGTCTCAGGCTGGAACATGAACAAGCCTCTCAACCCACGCCAGAGAAAGCCCAGCAGAACCCAACTTTGTTGGCTGAACTCCGGCTCCTACGGTAAAAGAAATCCTCTAAAGCTCGTGAGCGTTCGGTGCTGGGGCCGACCAGCCCCAGGGGTGCTTCCCATGACACAGGCTGTGGTGGGAAAAGCATCTCCCCTGTAGCTTTGAAGTGTTACTTAATGTGCTGAATTCTGCAGGCTGATAGAGTATTGCAATGGGCTTCTTTTTTTTTTTTTTAAGTGGGTTTAGAAGTCAATAAAAATGTCTCTTAAAATGAATTTTGTTTGTATAGTTCAGGAAAGGGACTATAAAAGATAAACCAACAGGAAAAGCCAGAAGAAAGGGCATTATCTGCTTATCATTTGTTGTCTAACAGAGGGGGACTGAATAGAAATGTCAGTTATTTGATTAGTCAATGAAACTGAAAATTCATCCCTCCATACAGTCAGACATACAGTAAAAGCTGGAAAAAAATCTTCGAAGCCTCTTTTATGGATTTTGCACTTTGATGTGATGGGGAGGAACTGTCAGTATTTATAGCATGAAGCTGGGGAAGGGTCTGGAGCACAAGTGTGATGAGGAGCAGCTGAGGGAACTGGGGGTGTTCAGCCTGGAGAAAAGGAGGCTGAGGGGAGACTTTGTTGCTCTCTGCAACTGCCTGAAAGGAGGTTGGAGCCAGGGAGGTCGGTCTCTTCTCCCAAGGAACAAGCAACAAGACAAGAGGAAACATCCTCAAGTTGTGCCAGGGAAGGTTTAGATTTCTTTACTGAAACAGTGGTCAAGCACTGGAACAGGCTGGCCAGAGCAGTGGTGGAATCATCATGCTGGAGGTGTTCAGAAAACATGTAGACGTGGCACTTTGGGACATGGTTTAGTTGGCAGCGTAGTGTTGGATTGATGGTTAGACTTGGTGATCCTAAAGGTCTTTTCCAGCCTTAATGATTCTAGGATGCTATGGTTTGGGTACTCACAAGGACATTCTCTGGCTGTGTTTTATTTCATCTTCTCTTACCACTTCATTTGGAGCTCCACCTTCAGAAACTCTATCTGCAATTTAGAGTAGGTTTGAAAAGTCCCACTCTTGGCAGCAGCTCTTTGCAAACTTTATCATGTTTCCCTCATTGGGGTAAACTTTTTCTGCCCAGTTAGGAGATGCTGTAGCTGTGGTGCTTCCCAGGAGTGTTTAAAGGTTTTCCATAAATTGCACTGCTCCTGGGATGGAGCTGCTGCAGCTACAGGCAGCATCTGGGAAGTGTAATCCAGCCCCATGCTGCACAGTCTTCTTCCTCTACTTTTTCTTAGAGAATTTGTTGTATTATAGCACAGTTTGATGTTTCACTGATATTTTTCATTTTAGCACCTGATTATAATAACTCACAGATTTTCTGGCTTTATGTTTTATGTAACTATTTATGGTTTTTATATATGTGGAGAGGATGCAGAAGATACCCACAAATGTTAATAAAGAAGTGAGAAAAAGGAGAGTGCAGGGCAGCTTGATGTGCTGTTTGACCCAGCAGAGAAAGATGATGTAAGGACCTAGAGCTTAAACTGGAAACCAGCCAGATTTAGACCACAAATGATGCTTTTTAAAGCCAGGCAATAATCTCAAGAGCAGTGATAGAGTTTTCAGGCCCTTGATGTCTTTCCTGAAGATCTTTGTCCAAAATGCAAGCCATTTGAAACAAACCAGGAGGAATTGGAGGGCAAGTATTTTGCCAAAGGAAAAAATACAAACAAAAACAAACCAAAAAATAAAGCTGAATGATCATTGTAGCCGCTTCAGGCCTTCAAATATGTAAACACCACGGGAAAAATGAGGGAGAAAAAAAGGTTGAATTCAGCAGGTGCAGCCTGTCGGGTCATGCAGATTACCCAGTCTGGTCTCCTGTGTAATGGAGGCTGGGGAATTTCTCCCTGCAGTGCTCCTGCAGAATCCTTTTTTGTCTGCATCTCTGCAAGACAAACATCCAAGTTTTCATTTTAGAGGTGGAAAGAACACCACGTCCCCTGATACTGTTAATGTGATTGTCAGTTAATTTCTGTTCTTTGTCTGTGCTTGCTAGAATAAATGTGCACGTAATTTCTAACCTTCATAAGCTTCATTGTCCAAACCTTGTCCTTCCCTGTGCTTTTGCCTGCTGGGCTGAAAAGATCTTTTCCAGAATTCCTCTCTGCATGAGTGTATGCAGAGATTTTGATTCTTTCCCCTCTCAACCCCATCTTGCATAAACAACTCGAAATTTTCCAATTTGCTCCTGAAAAAGGTTTGCCAAGTCTCCCTTTAGCTTGCTGTCAAGACCTCTCCAAGTCCTCTGTGTCCCATTTATCTGTGGGTGGCAGGACAGGCTGCGGAATCTCACCAGTGCTGTAGGTAGAGCCAGTGTTGGCTTTCCTGCCACCAGACATTACTCCATTCATAAAGTCAAAGTTCATGTTAATTTTCTTGCCTGTGTAGCATCGCCCTGGAAGTTCACAATTAGCAGAGTATCTGGGATGTGAAAGTACTTCACAAAGCCACAGCTGAGGAGGAGACATTCCCCTCAAGGTGACCTTGCCTTTGGTTATACATAGGAATGTGTTACCAAATTATCTCACTTGCTGGATAGAATTCAGACTGTGAAAGCAAGAAAAAAATTAATCCATGAAAAATCAACATGCCCCGGGCCCATTCCTGCAGAGGAGTCAGCTCTGCCAGGCTGCTGGAGTGAGATGGAGCACAGCCGGATCCTTCATCCTCACATCCTGACTTGGGATGCATATGGCAGCCCAAGGGATGCTCATTCCCACATCGGGGACCAGCACTGCTTTGCCCCAGGCACATGCCCCAAGCTTTTTAGAGGCCATTCAACCTTTTTTAAAATATATATATATTTTACACCCTGTGTCATTGACAAACAGCTTCTTTCTTTGCTGAAGGGCATTGAAAAAGAAATTGAGTAGCATCAGCCAAAATCAGATATAGTCATTGATGTTGAATCTTCATTAGCATTTGCAGAGCTGTACTGATTTCACATGTTGATTTTTACATTATTTGGAGCTGTTAACCAGAATATTATATTTAAGAACTATAGCATAAAAGCCACAGACTTTGAACTGACCTAGAGAGAGAGAAAAAGGACCATACAGACAGATAAAGCTGTGTCTGTGATGCGTCACTTTTGAGGTGACCAGGCATGTGTAAGCATCTCCTTATTGCCTTAGTTTTTTTATATGTTTTGGCATTTAATAACCACTTTCTTCAAAATACAAAAAGGTGTTGAAAGAAATACCCAGGGTGGTTGATACTTCACGGTCTTATGTCCTTTTAATAACCAGTGTAGAAACAAATTAATTCTGTTGTGTAGTTTCAGCAGCTTTCTGGTTGGGGTGGGCCATTTTGATGGTCACCATCATGAAACCATCAAGCCCTGTGCAGCAGGTTTATTCAGTCTGAGGAAATGGCCCAGTTCTTTTCCATATTCTCGTGTCCAACTGGTGTTTGTAAAACTAGTTGGTTATTAAAATTCCCAGAGTGATTTATCCATAGTGTATCACGTGAGGACACAGATATAATTTAAGACATTTAAAAATTGAGTCTATTATATGTGGTACCTTTAACTTTGGCTTAAGACCTTGTGGTGTCCACAAAATTGGTAGATGAATAAATAAGCCTTTCTAATCTGGGGTTTCTTTGTGATTTGTGGGGCCCAGCATTTCATAAATCATACAAGATACTGACAGTTTGTCTTTGAATTTCTCCTTATATTAGTCCCTTCTTTCTATTTTTTTTTTTTAATATAAAATAAAACTTTACAGTCATATTTTCTTTAACAGCTCACAGATAGGCATCTGCAGACAGTGCTTTTCTGATGCTGAGGAAAGGGAAGGTCATTTCTTACCTCCTTTTCTTGTTGCCTGAGTTCTGGTGTAGCAAATCTGTCACAGATTTTATGTCCTGTTGGTGGACAGAAATAGCTCCACGAGTCTCCTTCCAGCCAGGTGATGGCTTCTCCTTGCCAAACATCTGCAGCCTTTTCTCCTCGTGTCTTTCCTCTCTCTGCCTTTTCTCCCGTAGCTCATTCTTGCTTGTCTGAGAGCTCTGCAGGGTGCCTGGCTGTGACGTTCAGAAAGTTCTTAAAAGGAGGATAAAGTGGGCTTTTTTTCCCCTCAAAGTGCAGAGCTCTTGAAAAGGGCTTCCTCCCACCAAGGGGCTGAGTGCAAATTTTGGGATCTTAGGTGAAAACCCTGATGGTTATGTACAGGCTTCATGGTCATTGTACTGTGCTTGCTCTGCTTTTTGAAATTGGAAGCAGGGGGGGGAGTGATGGAAACCATGGTTAAGTGGGTGCGTTTCCCTGAAGTGGTTTTGAAGTACCCAAAGTTTATTTTCCAACTCTTTCTTTTGTGTTCCCTGAACAGGCAGAGAAAAGATGAGCTGGAGCAGAGGATGTCAGCACTGCAGGAGAGCAGGAGAGAGCTGATGGTGCAGCTGGAAGGGCTGATGAAGCTGCTCAAAGTAAGTCTTCTCCCACCAGAAATCATGGCATCCTTCCCTTCCTCGCACCAGGAATTCCCTCTTGCTGCTCCAAGATTTTTGCTTTGCTGCCACACTGTTGTCCCAAAAGAATAACTGACATCAACACCACCATAAATACTCCATGAGGAACAGAAGTCATTTCCACACTGGCTCTTCATCTTGGTGCTGATGGTTAATGAGGCTCTGGGTTCATATTTTTGCTTAAAATATGGAGAACCCCTAAGATTTAATGAAGGATTAGAGTTGGTGATCAGCTGCATGTTGTTCTAGGGAATACTTCAGGTTTTCCAACTTGAACTGGAAATTAAACTGAAAATTATAGTCCCTGGGGTACAGGACAGGACTGCCAGGGGCATGGGGCTGTTGTTCAGGTGATGTTACACCAACCCTATGGACTCCAGGCAGTGCCAGGAGGTTGGCTCTGTGTGCAGCATTTTTTACATGTCTTATTCTTTTTATAGAGTCCTGCTAAAGTTGAGCTCATAGTTGATGCCTGTACTCTGAAATACTGTTGTGCATTTGTTCTTTCCATTCTTTAAACTGAAAAAGAGCCTCTCTATAAATACAGTGAATGGCAAAATATCATTCTTACTCAAAGAGGTTTTGGTCTAAGACAAGATGCAACAAAGATACTGTTGGTTTTGGGGGAAGTGGGAGGGGAATTGAGGCAATGGCAAAGGCAGGAGCAGCACAGGCGTGACAGATTTGCTACAGGCACGTCTCAATAGTTCAAAAAACTGCAGAGCTTGTCTGCACTTGAAAGTGGTAACAACTGCACATCGTCTGCAAAGCTTGAGTGAAGTCACTGCTCAGGTTGGGCTTGTGTTGTGGAGTAGGAGTGTGTGTGCGCCAGACCTGGCATCGGTTGGGGTTGTTCAGCCTGGAGAAGAGAAGGCTCCAAGGAGACCTTAGAGCACCTTCCAGTACCTGTAGGGGCTACGAGAAAGCTGGGGAGGGACTTTTGACAAGGGCATGGAGTGATGGGATGACAGGGAATGGTTTCAGGCTGCAAAGAGGGGAGATTGAGATGAGATCTGAGGCAGAAATTCTTCGCTGTGAGGGTGGTGAGACACTGGCCCAGGTTGCCCAGAGCAGCTGTGGCTGCCCCATCCCTGGCAGTGTTGAAGGGCAGGTTGGATGGGGCTTGGAGCAATCTGGTCCAGTAGGCTGGGCTTGAGACCTCCTGAGGTCCCTTCCAACTGGAATTATCCCATGGGCCTGTGTCTGTTGTAATTATCTGGTTCTACATGTTGCATGATGCAGGTCTTTGCATTTCCCCTTCCAAGCTTGCTGTGGAGCCTGGCAGCTTCTCTTCCACAAAAGCATCTTCCAGAAAGACATCTGCTCTTGAGCTGCAGAGAGCAGAAAGAGAGAATTTGCTGCCTATGCAAATTTGCTTCTACAGATAAAAATTTATGCCTCATTTTCAGTTTTAATGTATTTAGCTGCAGTTTGCACCCATCGGCTCTGGTACATGTGGTTCTCCCTTCATTAAATTAAGGTGTACTTTAGCACCCCTGGTTTTTTCCTACGCAGATGCTTACTCATCTCAGAGAAGACATTGATCAGTCTTCTTTTTTAGATCAGTTAAACAGCTCTGCTGAGTTTCCAGACATGCTTCTGATGATTGATTTCTTTGCCTTCTCCAGATTTTATATATATTTATATATAAATATATATTTTTTAACTGGGAAAAAAACAAACTACATGTTGAATTCTTCTCTGAACCTTCGCAACAGTGTGCAGAGAGTCTCAGGAGGAGTTTCACTTCTCCTCAGCACTGTTGTCCTTTACTGTGCCTTTCTGCACCAGTGAGTGCTTTTTGAAAGCTCTCAGGTCTCTAGATCTTTCTTCATGCAAAGTCCTTCTTTTCTTTCACGTGGTGCTAGCTGGTTAATGACAATGTACTACAAGTTTGGCCTCCAAAGGAACTGCAGATATGAAAATATGTTACATCTGTGTAGTTTCTTTAGAAGCCAAACAATCAAACAACAAAATTGGATTTATTGGCAAGACCCCTTTCCCATGAAGTTCCAATGCTTCGTATGTTATGTATTAGTTGAGTCTTGTCTCAGCATTTCTCTTCCTTTGAATAAATTAATGGCAGGGTAGATGTTTATGCTCATTTAAGTTGTTTTACCCTCCCTTTTTGAATACCAGTACAACACAGCACGTTCCAGTCCTGAGGATTTCAAGATTTCTTAAAAATCATCTTCACTCAACTGAATAATGTAATTATTTTAAGAATCCCAGCTGCAAGCAGCCCTGGCCTGCTGACCTAACCATACTCCTTCCAGCAGATAGGTTTTAACACCTTTTCTCATTAGTAGTGGAAAGCACTTCATTGTTTGCTGATACAAACTACAAGGGAAAAGGTACTATTAGTGAAACACAGAATAGAAACACTGATCCCTCTTCCCATATTAAGGATTTTACCATGGCCATCAGGCAACAGTAGCCTGCCCCACCTCAGGGCTTTGTTTTGCTTCTGGTATTTGTGTTCATTTGAAAGTCTTCTTTTCAGTGGTTTTAGCCCAGCCAGACACCATTTTTTCCCACACGTTTTTAGCTTCACCCATTATTTGGTGCATTTCAGAAATTCTCATTTATAATTTACATCAGCTGTTAAGCTTGTATGGGTTGGAGTTTTTTTCCCATTTTTTTGTGCAGTATTTGTTTACATTTTTAATGCTGCCTTCATTTCACCATTTAGAGCTGGATTCAGCTCACCTCTTTTGGGTTGTCTGAGAGTTAGGTACCTGGACCCGTGGACTCCCTCTGGAAACAGGAGAGAGGGAGGAAAGTATACATTTGGAAGGACATACCTGGTCTCTGGAGGTTCATGCCACGTTGTGACAGTGGTCTCAGAACAGAGAAGGGCCCTCGACTATTTTGGGTGCTGTTAATGTCCTGCTCCCATGTTTATTAGCCCACATAGGTACCTTCCCAGGCCAGTGCGATTTAGAGTTCAGGCTGAGTTTTGCACTGAGTGTCCTTAGAATTACAGACTGGCTTGGTTTGGAAGGGCACTTAAAGATCATCTAGTTCCAAAGCCCTGCCATGGGCAGGGACACCTCCCACTAGACCAGCTTACTCCAAGCCCCATTCAGCCTGGCCTTGAACACTTCCAGGGAGGGGAGCAGCCACAGCTGCTCTGGGCACCCTGGGCCACTGTCTCACCACCCTCACAGCAAAGAATTTCTTCCTCAGATCTCATCTCAATGTCCCCTCTTGCAGCTTGAAACCATTCCCCCTCATCCCATCACTCCCTGCCCTTGTCAAAAGTCTCTCCCCAGCTTTCCTGTAGCCCCTTCAGGGCCTGGAAGGTGCTCTAAGGTCTCCCTGAAGCCTTTTCTTCTCCAGGCTGAACAACCCAAACTCTCTCAGCCTGTCTCCAGAGCAGAGCTGCTCCAGCCCTCACACCATCTCTGTGGCCTCCTCTGGACTCGCTTCAACAGCTTTATGTCCTTCTTCTGCTGGACACAGTACTCCTTCCACTTCTTTTTGCAAGTGTGTGCAGACACTCCATTTAGGAAGTGTCCATTGCAGGCCTCAGCTGGTGTTTTTCCCTGAAGGAAAGGTTCTGGCCATTCAGCTCTTCATTTGGGGCTGTCACTGGCACTGCCCACTGTGTTGGGCACAGGTAAGACCCTGGCTGTGTCTACCAGGAGACCCCATTAGTGCCGTACAGCATTTCTTAGGGGGTCACTCCTGTACCTGCTCTCCTCTGCCCAAGTTCACTGTTGCCCCTTTGGATCAGAGCTACCAGCACTTTCCCAAGCCATCTCCAACCACCACCCAGGGGTGATCAGGCCCCTGGACCATTCCCAAGGGGGCAGTTTAGATACAGCTCCCCCCAGTGAGAGTGAGAAGGGATTTTAACGGCATGGATGTGTGCAGATCATGCCAGAGAACAGACCCTTGCCCAGTTTCCTTTAAGATTTTCCTTTTCCTTAAGTCATCTGTCATCAGCCAGTGCCATTAGCTGGCACTTTGCTAATCAGCAGTCGGCAGTGGTGGTTTTCTGCCTTCTCAGGGGGGTTTTCACTTTTAACTTTGTGGACATTCAGCAGACAGATCCCATTTTGCTTCTTCCATTTCCTCAGTGGTCATTTCCTCAACTAGCTGATGTGATGATGTGTCTAATAACTGCTCCATCCTTCCAGCAAACCTCCACACCTCCCCAGATATGCTTTTCACATCTGCAGTTAATGCTAAAGCCTCGTTTTTCAAACTAACAACTTTTTTGTTTTGTTTTGGTGGGTTTTTTTGGTTTGTTTTTTTTTTGTCAAGTGGAGATCATTTAAGACCTTTTCCCTGACCTGGCTCACCATTTGGTCCTGCCAGTCCCAGTGCTGGGAGGAGGAACTGGGAGCACAGGGAGGGCAGCACTGGGCTCCATGGCTGATGCTGAGCTACAGTTGAGCAGAACCATCCCCTACATCTGCTGCATCTCTGCCAAAATACCCACCTGAAAGAATCCCAAGTCTTGGGAGAAAAAAAAAAATATTTAATAATAATAATAATAATAATAATAATAATAATAATAATAATAATAATAATAATAATAATTAAATAGAAAATAATTCCCCCAGAAATGGGGAGTTCTCTGCAGTCCTTCCCAAATGTCCCCAAGGTGCCCTCAGTGCACAGTCAGGAAACATCTGTTACTGCAGTGGTCACTGAGAAGAAGCTTCTGTAAATTAAGGGACAGGTTCTGGTTGATCCTACTCAGATGGGAGATAAGTGGGGCAAGGTGGATAAGTGAGTTTATGGTCTTCAAGGCTAGAAGGAGCTGTTTCTCCATGACCCAAGTTTCTTGGGAGATGTACTTACCAGTGGTCCCTCTGCTCTGGCAGGCCATGCAAAGCCACCATTGGAGGGAACACCCCCTGTTTGTGGTTGGACTCAGTGATCCTAAAGGTCTTTTCCAACCAGAACAATCATGTGATTCTCTTACTCTGGAAAAGCTGTAGTAGCTATTTCTGTGTAGATGAGGACATCAGAACCCCAGGCCAGCCTTTCTGTTAGCACACAGCAGTTCTGCCCCCACCACAGCCACCATCCTCCCCCACACCGCCAGCCCTGGGGAAAGCAGCCTACAGGACTCACAGTGGTTCTTACTTCTCTGAGGAGAAAATCTGTGAAAACTTTTGAATGATGAAAGAAATTCTCAACTGTGTGATATTTTGCTCATTCCCAGCAATGCTGCTATAGCTGCAGTCAGATGTGCTTTTGTTGCCCTGGCAGGATCAGAGAGTATGTTTCCCTGCTTCAAAAGAGGATAAATTAATCCGTATTTCACCTTTTCTGGCCTTTCATAGAAATCCAGACTGGTTCGGGTTGGAGGGACCTTAAAGATCATCTAGTTCCAACCCCCTGCCATGGGCAGGGACACCTTCCACTAGACCAGCTTGCTCCAAGCCCCATCCAACCTTCCCAATCAATAGTGATCCATACAGACAGATATTGCCTTGCAAAAAATGAATTATTTACATCTTCATCGTGACTCCACATATTTGGTGCTTTTGCCTCCCAGTTTCTCCCCTCCCACCTCAGACCCAGTTGCTGGATGCTTGTTTCTTTGCTCTTTTGAATCCCCATGGGCCTGGTGCTACAGACACTCTCTGACCAAAAAGGTGATATTTTGCCTCTCAGGCTATGACAGTTTGGGTCTCTGTGGTGGCAGATTTATAGATGCAGGGAACCAAGTGCTGAGCAGTGGTTTCACACCCCGGATGGGATTTCCAGACTTTAGGGGCTGGTAGTCTGATCTTTCTTGCCTTGAGAGCAGCTAGACAGACCTGGCATGTCCAGAGAAGGGCAACAGAGCTGGGAAAGGGTCTGGAGCACAATTCTGACAAGGAGCAGCTGAGGGAACTGGGGTGTTCAGCCTGGAGAAAAGGAGGCTGAGGGAAGACCTTCTCACTCTCTACAGCTGCCTGAAAGGAGGTTGAAGTAAGTCAGGGATTGGTGTTTTTCCTAAAGAACAAGTGACAGGACAGGAGCAAACAGCCTCAAGTTGCCCAAGGGAGGTTTAGATTGGATATTGGGAACAATTTCTTCCTGGACAGGATTGTCAGGCCCTGGCCCAGGCTGCCCAGGGCAGTGGTGGAGTCCCCATCCCTGGAGGGATTTCAAAGCCATGTAGCTGTGGTGCTGAGGGACATGGTTTAGTGGTGGCCTTGGCAGTGCTGGGGTAATGGTTGGACTTGATGACCTTAAAGGTCTTTTTCAACTAAAACAATTCCATGATTTCTTAGTCCAAGGTAGGAAGGGAAGCTAGTAAAGGTTCTGTGTAAAACAAAAGGTATCCATTGGATATCCTGTCCTTTGTCCAAGAGATCCATACTGTGGCATCCATCCCGTCTGTTCAGCTTTTGCCATCACTGAAGGCCGTTTTAGACAAGTTATCTTTTGAGAATGGAGCAGATGACACCTTTGCTCTCCCACCACAGCTGTTGTGTGAAACGTTCTTATTTCCCTTTGTGTCTGCTCGTGTTTCTACAATTTGCCACATTCTGGTTTTCTGTGGGGTCTGGTTGTGTATTTTGTGTGTGTGTGTTTCATTTTCATCCAATAATTAATCCATCCTGTTTCTCTCTTCACCTTTTGCCAACGTTTACAGGAAGAAGAGCAAAAGCAGGCAGTAAGTTAACTTTGCCTTGTTGTGATCTGACTCTTTTCTTACTGCATGAAAACCATTTTCTGTTAATTGGCTTGTATGCAAATGAGCGGTGGGAATGCGGGGTCTTTCTCACTTGTAAATTTGAAAGCAGCCCTCATCAGGCTCCAGTAGAGCATGTTTGTGTCTGTGTCCTTAAAGCTATTTCTCTCTCCCTTTCAAATGACATTCCTTGCCCTGGGCACACCACTGGTCGCTGTGTTCTTTGGGGTTTTGTAGAACTGTGCATGTTCAGCCAGGGTTGAAAATGTGGCTTCTCAGCTGGCTTCAGAATGTATTTTGTTGGAGGTTCTTTGGAGTATTTTACATGCTAAGAAAGCTTTCTCATCTCTTCAAGAATCCTTTCATTTCCCTCATTGCCACATACAAGTCCATGCATGAAAACTAATTAATGACTTAATATTCTGGGCATGGATCCATATCACTCAGTCATGATATAGTCTCCTTGAATTAGTCCCAGTTTGCTCATTGTAAACAGGAGGAGTAAACGAATGAGATACAAGAATGCATTTCATTTGGTGCTGATTTTCATTTTCTCTGCCCACATATTACACTCTGGATCCAGTGTTAATTTCAGAATCCACTCCAGAGGGAGCCCTTTTGCTTTACTCGGAAATAGCCAGATGTTCAATGTCTCCTCTCCAGCAGAACAAACCTTCAGCCTTTTTGAACATGGTTTTCTTATACACAAAGCTGTAATGAAGGTTAATCCTATGTTTCCTGTTGCTGGGAGGTGGGGTTTACCTGTTGTTTGTCAGATACCCAAATTGGATATTTGATACATTGATTGAAAAGTCTGGTAACTTCTTTGTAAGGAAATACATATTTCTGGGTAACTTCTGTTGCTGAAAACACTTCAGTGCTACCTGTGCTGAAATGGGCTTTTGGTGACTCCTGGGTGGCCTTATATTAAAATTCCATCCTCAGTTTAAGAAGAAGATGGTGATACATGGTATGTCTTCTGTTGGAGCCCAGTTCATGTTTCATTGATGCTGTCACTGGAGGTTAATCCGTGAATTCTCTGAGGCACCTTGCAGAAATTCTTTGGGTTAATGAAAGGACCAGATGATGGCATGTGGCTGTGATCTGCAAGGAAAACAACCAAGACACCACCATCTCTGTCCTCCAACTTCTGTCTAGCTGTGCAAGGGGAATGCTATATTGTATGTCATCCTCTTGCCCAACTTCAATCCTAGGAACAATCATCTGTGTGGAAACACAGCTTTATATTAGCTCCTTTTTCCTGGGCTGTGAGTCCCATCTGCATTATGGATAGAGAAAAAGGGTAAATATGACATCAAAGGAAGAATTTGCCCAATTCTATCTCCCTTCTTTTCCTGGAACAGTGTGTTAGGAGATGGATAAAAGAGCCAAAACTGACTGCTAAAATAACATCAACACATTCTGTCTAGTCCCATTCTGTTGGAATCAATGGTGAATAAGCCAAAAAGGATCTGAAACTCAAGAAGGCAGATCTTGACCAACCAAAGGGCATGTTGCTGATCTGCAGGAGTTGAAACTTTATGTCCTTATGTTTGCATGGCCCAACACAGCTTGAAATGCTCTCCTCTTAAATATAAAGGTGCAGCCCGAAGAAGCTGGAGGGCTCAGGATACAATGCTCCACATGGCTGAGAAGCACACAGAAATCACAAAATAGCTGAGGTGAGAAGTCAGCTCTGGAGATCATCTAGTCCAACCCCCATGCTCAAAGTAGGGTCAACTAGAGCAGGCTGGTCAGGATCTTGTCCCGTCATCTTTTGAGTATATCCAAAGTTGAAGACTCCACAAACCTCAATGGACAACCAGTTCTAATGCTTCACCATCCTCTCCATAAGAACATTTTTTCTTTATTTTTAAATTGAATTTCCCATATTGACATTTGTGCCTGTATTTCCATTCCATTGCCTCTAGTGCTTTCACTGGATACCACAGAGAAGGGTCTGGCTCTGTTTCTTTACTCTCTTCCACCAGGACTTTGTGTGTTTTGATAAGATCCCCCTGAGCCTTCTCTTCTTGAAGCTAAACACACCCAGGTCCTTCAGCCTCTCCTCATATGACATATACACTGGTTCCTTCATCATCTTTGTGACTTTTCTTGGACTTGCTCCAGTCTTGCTCCAAATCCTTCTTGTACTGGATTGTCCAAAACTGGACTCAATGCTCACCAGAACTGAGTTGAGGGGAAGGACCACCTGCCCCAACCTGCTGCCACGACTCTTCCCAACACAGCCCAGGATGCTGTTGACTTTCTTTGCTGGAAGGGTATGTTGCTGACCCATGTTTAGTTTCTCTGCAGGACCCCAACATCTTGTTCTGCCAAGCTGCTTCTGAGCCAGCCAGCCTTCAGAGTGCCCTTGATACACGGGTTTATCCTTTCTCAGGAGCAGAACTTTGCTTCTGGTGTTGAACTTGATGAGGTCCCTATCTGTGCACTTCTCCAGGTTCAGTAACTTCTGTGCCTCATGTTCGGAGTTCAGAGAATCATAGAATAGTTCAGGTTGGAAGAAACCTTTAAAGACCATCCAGTCCAACCCCTGCAGTGAGCAGGGACATCTTCAGGTAGATCAGGTTACTCAGGGCCCCTTCCAACCAGACCTGGCATGTTTCCAGGGTTGAGGCATCTCTGGGCAACCTGAGCCAGCCTCAGCATAAACAATTGCTTCTATTTTTCTAGTCTGAATCTCCCCTCTTTTAGTTTAAAACCATCACCCCTTCTTCTCTCACTGCAGGCCCTGCTAAAAAGTCCATCCCCTACCAAGATCTCCTGTCAAGCTTTTAAGTTTCTGGATGGTCTTCCCCTTTGCAGGACTTGCCCTCAGAATCAATGGGGCCACTCCTGGTCACAATGTTGAGGAACAGCACATTGAGTAAAGATGCTATTCCAGTAATCGAGTATGTGATGTTCTATTAAGCCAGATGGTATTTGAAGTCCACCACACTATTTTCTACTACTGCTACAATTGTTGTGTCCCAGCTAATAAAGCTCTTTGCCAGCATAGATCCTAATTTATAACAGGAGCATTTTCATGTCACAGCTGGTGAGAGGCTTGAATAATCTGCTAAATATTAAAACCTCTTTGTTTTGTTGTCCAATGAGCAGCCATTGGAGCTGTACTGCTCAGTATTCAGAGGAACGTTGAAGGAATTCACAAAGATGTACATCACGTGTGGGATGTCTTTGGCATGTAGTACAGTTCATACAACAAATCCAGAAGAGCGTTTGAGCGTCAAGGGCTTGTACTGCAACACAAGAGAACTTCTCTAATGCCAAACAGGCAAAGGGAGGACTTTACAGCAGATGAGCTCACATGGGAGTGTTTAAGCCCTGGAATGGAAATCTCCTTGCAGAAGATGGTGGGAACCATGCAATGACGAACTTCAAGTTTATGTTACCAACCAGAAAAAGTGGACAGGCTCTCACCCAACAATCCTCATGAGGTCATGGAAATCTTGGGAGGGTTGCTCCTTAACCCCACAGAGAAGGAGTTCGGAGTTCCCATTTCCCTTCCATCATTCAGATGCAGAGTACATAGATGACATATTTCAGGCAGCTTGAGAAGTAGAAAGGCAGTAGCACACGTACCTTTAATGAGGTGAACCTTCTTAACCAACAGCCATAACCAGGTTGAGCCAGCCAGCAAGCCAGGATCATACCTGCATGTCTCCCCAAAAGAACTAGAAACCTGTGAGTGGGGAATTCCCAACCTTGAGGAGCCTTGTGACAGCTGAAGGAGTCTCATTGTATTGATATCCAAACCTGAGAGTGCTCTTCAGTTCTACACCCATTTTTGCATCAACCAGAGGTTCTGTAGGCCTCTTTGGAATGGATCACCAATGAACTCCCACCATCACACACTGTTGCATTTTAACAAAAAGATGAAGAATTCCTCCTTGTGCCTCAACACTGCAAATCAGCTTCTTGCACTGCGTGGCCTCATCCATCTGCAGGATGGGCCTCTGGTCTCTGCAGGTGTTCAGCAAACTGTTGGCACTGATGGGTGATGGCTGCTGTTCATGTAGCTAACATGACCCCCTTGCTTGAGTGACAGTCACTTATTCTCATGACTGAAAAGCTTTTCTCAAGTAAGTATAAGACCACCTTCTGCAGGGTGGGAGTGGACAGCCCAAGTAGCACAGTAGAGAATGAGACCAAACTGTCTATTCAGGATAAATTTAAAGAAAGGACCAAATCTGGTTACCCACCACATACTAGTAAATGCACATGGATAAATTCTCTGACACTGAGGGCAACTGGCTTGAAGATGCTTGCCCCCAGGCCAGCAGGGTTGCTTAGCCTCTAAGTCCTGCTAGCAGTGTTGGGAACTGTGTGCCTGGGAACTGCTAGGGAATGCTCCTGCTGGAATGTGTCACAGCCATGCCAGGGAATGTTTAGAACACCTCCACACTGTAAATGATCTTGTTGCAGTGCCAGAAACACTCCTGAGTATGGTTCAACTCACTTAATGTAGAAGACAGAGCTTTAGAATAAGCTTGGAGTTGGTGCCTCCACACCAATGTGTTCATGGTCCTCCTTGAGGATATCTCCTGAAAGAGCTATTTAGATGTTAAATATTTAAAGTCATGCAGGGAAACAGACCTCTGTACCTGTGGAGTTTACCTGTCTGTAGACATTTTGGAAAGGAAAGCTAGGTCTGTGCTGACATCAGGTATTGGAGGTGAAAAAGACCTTACGCTGCACTTCAGTTGATACTACTGCTCCTAGCAGATGACTTTTTTGGGATATGAGAAGGAAGGCTTCGCAGGGAATAGCTGTGGATACACTTCAGGATTACTTTCTTGAAAGTCTGCTTGCTCTGATGGATCACAATGTCCTGTGGTGGTTGAGTGTCAGGTAAGAGACAAATCCCTGAGGAATATGGTGGTGCTTTCTATCGCAATGGGATGCAACGTAGACAGGGTTGCAGCTGATGTTTCTGTCTGAAGAGAAGGAAAATTCATATC